CTTTCTTTCTCTCTCTACAGCCGACTCTCCCTCCCTCTCTTGGAGCCAAAATCAGCCAAATGATAAGAATGAGGGGTTTTGAGTGTATAGTGCCTTTTTACAACACTCTCCACTAACTTAGTTATAATAATAATAACAATTGGGCACTAATTCATTAATTTAATCAACCTAATCTGGTCTGAATCAATTTTTCAATTAAACTTCACTGTAGGCTCTAAAAATTATTCCAATCACAATGGCGTAATCAATTTCGGGTTATGTGGCCGATAAGGCCTTCAATTTAATTCCCAAAGCAGATAAGCAAACAGATATTCCTACAATGAATAGATAGAAATTCAAAATCGCACATTTTCACATAATGGCACACAAAATCATATTAAACATATAATCAAACTCATAATAAGGACCCATTAGCATAATACGGAACAAGGTCATCACACTTTCTACTCCACCTTACCAAAAACTTGCTGAGGATTGCATTTTTGACCTGTCGGCCATCTGCCGGCCAAGAATGAGGCACTGCCGACCATTGGTGCTTTAAGTCACCACACTGCAATGGAGCACAACTAGAGGAAATGTAAGGTTTTTCCAGGGGTTTATTTGTACTGTGCCTCTTCTTATCATCTCAAATCCTCAAATGAGTGGCATACTTGGATCTAAAACCACCAACCAAGCATCTTCGATGCATGATGGTCAAAGAACCAAGGAGTACAATTTCATTATATGCAAAAGCAAGACTCAAGACCACCATCTTATCATGTGTGATCAAAGGCAATGGAGGCCAAGGAGATTGGCTCATTTCATCACTTTGAGTATGAAATGCTCCAACCTTCCTTGTGTTCAATATAACGTTCGATTGAACACATGCAATGCAACATAACATGCGTATCTTGCTCAAGTTTTACTTGTCACTTTTGTTTACTCATTTTAAGTTACCAACTCATTCTTTAATTGATTTAGTCCAATGGTGAGAGTCCTCTAAAGAGAAAGAAGCGTCAACCAAAGGATGATTTAAGGCAAGAGAGAGTTCATATCGTTGGTTAGTAGAAACCCTCAAAAGAGGATTAAAACCATTATGCACAAACTCTATCTCAAGCTTAAAAGATCCCAAGCTTGAAACAACTCTCAAAAGCAATTTAAAGACTGAAACAAATGAGAACATGACAGAGCTATATATGCTGAAATTACATGCAAAATGACACTATAACATGCAACCAACTCATACAACTCATGTTTGAACGCCTAAAACAATGAGCTAGTGAAGGAATTAACCCTACAACTATGCAATACAAGCCTCAACTGATGCAACCAGCGCAAAACAGAGCCAAAACAGGTCAAAATAGAGGCAAAAACATGCTGGACTCGAGCTACAAATTGCTAGAAAAACATGCTAACATGTAAAGCTATCTAGGCATGCAAACAAGACACAAGGAGGGGAGGCTAACCCCTCTAATTTTGGACTTCAAAACATGTTTTTAGCCGCTGAAATAGCCCTGAAAATCAGTGTTTAAAAGCTCTGAAAAAAATGATGTAAGGGTGGGAAACACAAGGGCAAAGGCCTCCAAAACAAGGTACAAAGAAAGGTTATCAACCCCTCAACCTTTAATGGCCTTTGGACCCAAGCTTTAGCCCAAAAACACAGAGTTTTTATAGTCCAAAATCAGTTGAAAGACATGCTAGAATGAAGACAAAACTAGCTAAGACAATAAGCTAATACATAGAGCTTTTGAACTAGTAAACAAGCATGAAGAGGGGTGGCTAGCCCCTCTATTTTTGGGACCTCAAAACAACATTTTTAGCCTCTGAAAACCTCTGAAAATCAGTGGTAAAAAGGCCCAAAAAATTTGATTTGAAAGTGATGAAAAATGGTACAAAAGCTTTAACAAGCAAAGGAGCAAGAATGGTGGACAACCCCTTAACTCAAACTAGCCTCAAACCACCATTTTTAGGTCATGGTTTTTCAGTTCAAAACCACCCCAAAAACATCACAAAAAGATGGCAAAAACAAGTATGAAAAACATGCTTAAAGGGTAAAGGTTATACCTCTTGAAGGCAAGAGTGGTTCTAGGCCACGATCCAAGCCAAAACCCACTTAAGGAGTTCCAAGATTGCTTCAAGCAACTTCATCCCAAAGATGAACCACTTTGGTTAAGGATTGATAGGTTAAGCACAAAAGCTTCTAAGCACAAAATCTCCGGAGAGAGAGAAATCTAGAGAGAGAGGATTGTAGAGAGAGAGGCTCCCAAAGTTCTTCCAACCTATAAAACAATAGAGAAGGCCCTCTATATATAGAAAAACAAGAGCTCAGGTCAAAAATATCCCAAAATGGGCAGCTAGAATAGCTGGAAGACAAATATCTGCAGAAATCTGACTTTTTGCACCAATGGTCAGCAATGGATCATTGACGGCCGGCACAGGTCCATTCTTGATCGAAAAGGATCACTCTTGAATAGAAGGTGGCCAAAAAAGGCCATTCATGGTCGGCACATGGCCAGAAAAGCCCATCTATGGCCAGCAACCTCCACCTTTAGTTGGCTAGAAAAATCTGCTTTTTGAGCCCAATTTCAAATGGGCATATCTCCTTCATCTGGACTCCTTTGCATGTCATTCTCGAGCCTTAATTGAATCCTGGGAAGTCTTATTTCTAATGGTGGCAGCATCACATCAAAATTCCAAGTGTGAAAAAAGATACTCTTCTTTTAGTGAAGACTGCTCAGTTTCGGTCCTACCCGGATTCATGCCGAACTTCTCCTCAACTAGCTTTCTTCTCTCCTCTCCCATTTTCTTCAACTCCAAACCCCTAAATAAGGTGTTTTGCAAATTTTTTCAAAGAGTTCATCTCTCTTCCATTTATTTCCACTTTGTCCTTGCTCAGTTTACCAAAAAGTGCAACATTTAACGAAATGCGAGCCTCAAAACATCGTAGAATCATTTTTCAAAAATATTTTGAAAGAGAGGGTTTTAAGGTCTAAAAAACATTTTATTCAAAAGGATTTGGTCCAAAAAGGGGTGTGAGGTTGGGATTTGAAGCTCCTCTTGCTGAAGAAACTGAACCTTTGCACTGCACAACTGTCATCACCAAGTAAATAATTAGTGGAGCCCAAGTCTTAAGGGCAGTCAAAAATGGGGTATCTACAACTGCCTTCTCATTGTTCTTGGACTCCCTGATTTACCCAAAAAGCAATATTAACGGTGATAACTGACGATTAATGGGCAGACTCTCCTACTTGAACCGATGTTGGTGAGTTTGCATCGAGACTCTTCATGGGAGAAACTCCACTCAATTCATTAGAGAGAAACTCTAGAGTTCACATGCATAACATTAGAAGCCAGACATACATTGTTTGAAACTTATACTATTATAACAAATTAACAAAAATTTAGAGACAAAATCATTTTTTAGGGACGAAACATTTGACATAGTTATATTTTTAGTGACAGAATTAGACACTTAGATATGAATTACTATCCTTTTGAGAACAAAATTTTAATCTACAAAAGTAAATTTTTCTAGGCACAAAATTGTTTTAACCCTAAAAGCATATTTATTAGCAACATTTTTAAAATTTTCACTAAAGTTTATTTTTTTTAAAAAAACTTTATAACTTTTTAGTGACAGTTCTTGTGACGACAAGAATAGGTCTCCTAATGTTTCTTGCAACAACATTTTTTTAAAAAAATTTATTTATTTATTTATTTATTTATTACTTTTAGAGACAAAAAAAATTGATTCTTAAAATTCTTATGTGTTTAAAAGTTTAAAAACTGTAAGTGGAGGGTCCATCTTTGAAGAGGCCAATTGTGTGGAAAGAATTTGAAGATTTATTAAAAAATAGTGGGAAAACTTTGATGTTTTGTTCAAAAAAAGTAGGAGATTTTGAAGATCTATCTGGAAAAATGGGCAACACTTTAAAGATGAAGTGAGCATGACTTTTTGCTTAGATTAACAAGCTTTACAGTTCTGTTAAAGTTCATATTTTCAAAGTGTCTGCCCTGCCCCAATGTCTACACAAAGGAATTGCCAATGAAAAATTGTTTGTTAAATATGATAATCTTTCTTGCTATCAAACTAATGCACTTAAAACTGTGAATGCATTTTGTTATAAAAAGTCACATAACTATTAATGTTAATATGTTTAACCTGTTGTTTTATTGCACTCCTGCCATGAGGTTGAGCGTAGTACGGTCATTTGTCTCGATTGTTGCTATGCTTTCGTGCATGTGCATGCCTCGGTTGCACAAAGCTTCTCAAATAGAAGCCACCACCGTCCTAGGTGCAAACGAGACTGATCACCTAGCCTTGCTTTCCATCAAGGCTCAAATAACTCATGATCCAATGCTAGTCACAAGCTCATGGAATGATTCTCTCCATTTCTGCCAGTGGGAAGGTGTTTTATGTGGCCATCGCCATCAGAGGGTCACTGCCTTGAGTTTAGAGTCTTGTAATTTAGTAGGTTCTATATCTCCTTCCATTGGAAACCTTAGTTTCCTTAGAACTGCTAATCTCTCAAACAACAGTTTTCAAGGTGAAATTCCTCATGAAATGGGTTGGTTATTCAGGCTTCAAGTTTTGGTCTTGACCAGTAACTTGTTGGAAGGATGAATTCCAGCGAACCTTTCAAACTTGTTGTATCTTGAGGTGTCTTCATTTAGGGGGCAACAAGGTTATAGGAAATCTTCCTAAAGAGCTTGGTTCCTTATCCAAATTGGTGTACTACATATTGATTCCAACAATTTGACAGGGGCAATCCCGACTATTTATACAAACCTTTTATCTCTTGAACATTTCTCGGCTCATTTAAATATGTTAGAGGGAAGTATTCTAGACTCCCTAGGCGGCCTGAAAAGCTTAACATATCTTTCATTCTTCTCAAATAAATTATCAGGTGTAATTCCTTCATCTATCTATAATATCTCATCATTGATTGCTTTGGAGGCACCAAGTAATTTACTTGAAGGAAGTCTTCCTCAAAATTTTTCCAAATGTTGAAGTGATTAATATGTGGGGAAACCAATTTAGTGGCTCAATTCAACTTTCAATATCAAATGCTTCAAAAATAAAATACCTTGACTTATCGCTTAACAAATTTTCTCCTGGAGTGGCTATTAATTTTGGAAACCTAAAGAATCTCTCTTGGTTTAGTTTAGATAAGAGTGGTTTGGGAACTGGGCATGTCAATGACATTAATTTCTTAACTACTTTTGCCAATTATAGCAAATTGAGAGTGTTGCAATTACAGGAAAATAATTTTGGAGGTGTTTTACCGAATTATTTAGCTAACTTCTCAACAAAACTCGAGCATTTATCAATGGCAGCAAACCAGATATTTGGAAACATTCTAGCAGATATTGGAAATCTTGTGAGCCTAAATGCTCTAGCTATGGACGAGAATCAATTGATAGGAAGTTTTCCGACCTCTATTGGTAAACTTGTTAAGCTTCAAGACTTGGGTTTTAGTGACAACAAATTGTCTGGGGAAATCCCTTCCTCTATTGGAAATTTAACACTATTCAACCGGCTTTGGTTAGAAGAAAATTATTTTCATGGAAACATACCTTCAAGTCTTGGAAATTGCCAAGGTTTGATACTGTTGCATCTTTATGGTAATGGTCTATTTGGTAGCATGCCTCAAGAAGTAATTGGTCTCTCATCTTTGTCAATATCTCTAGACTTCTCTCAAAATTGTCTAGCTGGTCCTATCCCTCTGGAAGTCGATAACTTGAAAAATCTTGTTGAACTAAATCTTTCTTACAACAAGTTATCTGGTGGAATTCCTAGCAGCCTTGGCAGTTGCACTTGTTTGGAATGCCTTTATTTGGACAACAATTCATTTAGAGGAACCTTTCCACAATTGTTGAGTTCTTTGAAGGCCATCGAAGAATTAAGTCTCTCACACAATAACCTATCGGGTGAAATTCCCAAATTTTTAGAAAGCTTTCCCTTTTTGAGGAATTTAAACCTTTCTTTCAATAATCTTGAGGGAGAGGTACCAGCAGGGGGAGTGTTCTTGAATGCAACTGCAATTTTAGTGTCGGGAAATAGCAAGCTTTATGGGGGTATACCTGCATTATAGTTTTCACCTTGTGCTTCTAAAAAACCAAGAAAGTTAATTATTCCCATAGTTTATGGGGTTTTGGGTATCATTTTTGCATCATCTATTCTAATCTTTTGTTGGCTTAGAAAAATGAGAAAGCAATCTTGTGTGCCAGCTTCTTTGAAAATATCATACGAAAATCTTATCAAAGCGACAAATGGGTTCTCTTTAACTAACTTGATTGGTACAGAAAGCTTTGGTTTAGTATACAAAGGAATTCTCCATCGAAATGAAATGGCTATCCCAGTGAAGGTACTTGACCAACAAAACACAGGAGCTTCAAAGAGTTTTGTGGCTAAATGCAAAACTCTTAGAAACATCAGGCATCAAAACCTCGTCAAGATTATCAGTGTTTGTGCAAGTGTTGATTTCCAAGGTAATGACTTCAAAGCCCTAATATATGAGTTCATGGAAAATGGGAGTCTTGAAAGTTGGTTGCATCCAGTTCCACAAGCAAGTGGTGGTGGTGCCCATGAGCAGCCGAAAAGTTTAAGCCTCTTTCAGCGATTAGGCATAGCCATTGATGTGGTTTATGCTTTGGATTATCTTCACAACCATTGTCGCATCCCAGTCATACATTGTGTTATAAAGCCAAGCAACATTCTTCTCAATAATGACATGACTGCCCACGTCGGTGATTTTGGTTTAGCGAGGCTCCTACAACAGCGCAACAATGAAATTTCTTAGAGCCAAACCAGCTCTATTGGTATCAAAGGAACTATTGGATATATAGCACCAAGTAATCCACAATATACCTTATATTTTGAGCAATGTATTCACCTACATGGCTATATATATATATATATATGTATGCATTCGTAAGTATAAATTAATAATCAGTTTGTTTAGGTGATTTTTATTTTTATTTTTTTTGGCATTTTTTGACCTTTGGTTCAACGAAAGATGAAAGCCTAGAAAAATTGTTTTTTGTGGTTAATGGAAAACAAAATTATTTAGAAAGAAAATGTTTTTACTTTTGAAAGGTGGAAAATATTTTTCAGATTGAAGTTTTTTCCAAGCCATCACTCGTCCACCGCCATATGACTATCACCATCGCTACCACTACTGCCACCAATTACAATCATTGCCAACCCACTGCCAGTGCCACCTTTGCCCTGCCTCCATCATCATCACAACAACAACCACCTTGCCACTACCCTCACACTAGTACTACCACTACTACAATCTCTAGCACATTTGTTTCATGGTCACAATCAAACATAAGAAAATATTTTTTTCCTATAAAAAATGTTTTTTTCATGAAAACATTCCGTATTTTTTTTCCCCCGCAGAAATAAAAGGTGTGGAAGATTGAAGTTAAAATGTATTATATGTGTAATGCAGAATTTGGCATGGGGAGTCAAGTGTCCATCGATGGTGATGTATATAGCTATGGGATCCTCTTGTTAGAATTGTTCACAGAAAAAAGACCAACTGATGACATGTTTAAAGATGGCTTGACCCTTCACAAATTAGCCTCGACAGCTTCGCCAGAAAGAGTAATGGAGATTGTTGATTAGAAACTTGTATCAGTTGTAGACGAGGAGGAACCAACCAACATAAATTCCAGGAAACAAATAAGAAAAGGAAAATTCCATGAGTGCTTCATTCTGATACTTAGGATTGGAGTCGCATGCTCTGAGGAATCTCCAAGAGAACGAATGGCCATTGTTGAGGCGATTAAGGAACTACATTTAGTTAAGGACATGCTACTTGGGAGAAGGATTTCAAGCAATGTGCAAACTACTCAAAATGCGTAATAAAGGTCCTCTCTTTTAGTGTTTTCTCTCAATTTCAAAATCTAAACTTCATCCACATGTTAGGCTTTGTGGAGCCCATCATGGACCTTATTTGAATGATCTGAACCATTATTTTTATAGAGTATTCCTTATATATCATTTATGAAAAAAATTAGATTTATTTGATAATCGTAATATTTTCATTTTATCGTATTTGTCTTTGAAAAAATAAATGACAAGTATATTTTCGAAAATTAGTCATCAATTTTTTTTTGAGACAAACGTGATAAGATAAAAATTTTATAATTATCGGATCAACTTAATGTTTTTTCAAAAACAATATAGAAGGAGAATCGTATAAGTTGAACGATTCGAATTATCGAAACAGAACTCGTATTGGATACACAGTCCTAACATGATGGTAAAGTTAAAATTTTGAACTTAAAAGTCTCCATTAAGTTGAACGATTCGAATTATCAAAACAAAACTCATATTGGCTACACAGTCCTAACATGATGGTCAAGTTAAAAATTTGAACTAAAAGGTCTCCATCCTAGTTTCACGGAAGATAGACAAGAGGTGGGGCCCACTCCCTTCTCTATTTTTTTTTTTTATAACATTATGTATTGTATTTTTGTGTATTTGTTTCCCTATCTTATCTAATTAGTTAATAAATTAGTAGATCCAATGTGCCATTTGAATTTCCATTCGTTTGAACACCATAATTAATTCCATTCTTACACCATAATTAACTTTCGTTTATTATTGCAATTTTAATTGTATCATTTTTATTCTTGAGTTTTGATATTTTGTTGATTTAGTGTAATTGATAATGATCCTTAAAAAATAGAGATTTTTGAAAAGAACAAACTCTAATTTTTTTGCTTGTAAACTCCAAAATAAAGAAATCTTGTAAGAAAGATAAAAAAATTTAGATTTATATTTTGTGTGACAAATTTACCTCTTTACATAGACTCTCTCTCTCTCTCTCTCTCCCTAACCTCTCTTCACTACCACTACCACAGTCTCCACTACTACCACCACCATCACCACTACTACCACTACCATGACCACTATTGTTTCTACCACCTCTATCATCACCGTCTCAACCACTAGTGTTGTTCGTCACCGCCATCACACTACCATTTCCATCATTACTGTCTCAACCACCGGTGCCACTTGATACTAGTATACCACTGGCAACCACCATTGTTCTCCTTTGCCTCCATGACCTCAGGTTTGAGATAGACGACCTCAAATCTAAGATCCATCATCTCAGATCTATATTCTCTCCCTCTCTTTCTCTTTGTCTCCTCATGATATTCTGTTTTTTAGACAGTAAAATTTTACTACAATTTGAACCAGATTGAGGCAATATATGTTCTCTCTCTATGTCTCTATTTCTCTATCTTTTTCTCTTTTCCTCTATACGTATATATTTTTATTTTAGTGCATTTTTTTTATCATTATCAATTTGAATATTGATTTTGAGCTCTCAAACGAAAATATTATTTTAGTACTTTCAATATAAAAAATGGAAAAATTTTACTCTAATATAAAGTAAAATTTTACACTTTGTAAAAATAAAATTTTACTATTAACGTTATTAATTCAATGTTTTGACTAATTTCTCATTTAATATCTATATGAAAAATAGTAATAATTATAGTAAGTGTGGTGGTTAGTGATAACAATGGCAAAAAATTAATATTTATATGTTTACAGTAAACAATAAAATTTTACTGCACTGGAGAATCTTATCGAAATTTTTTTGCCAACCTACAGTGGTCACTGGAAATTTATTGCTGACTAGGGTGATCAATGATGGTCGACGGAGGTCAGTGCTGGTAGACAATGGTCACTGGTGATTGTGGTAGTGTAAGAAAATGATAGAAATTGATGGTATTAATGTCATATTTTAAAAATATTTTGAACTTTGTCCTTAATAAATTAAATGTTTTTAACCTGTCCTTTTGGTAATGAAGTTTGAAATTGAGGAACTTATTACCAAAAATCCCTAAAAAAATTAGGTTAGAATCCAAGAACAAAATATTCGGCTGTGTTTGGTTTGCCTTTGGAATCATGATTCCGAAGGCAAAATTTTCAAATCACTTTTCAAAATTCATAACCAAGCACACAATTCAAAATTATTCAAAACTCGATTCAAAAATTACTTTCAAAACTCATAACTAAACATACAACTCAAAACTCAATGCAAATTTTTTTTTTTCAAAATTCAAAACCAAACTCTTTTCAAAACTCTATTTAAAAGAAAAAATATATATTTTTTATTTTTTTTTCTAAAATTATTTTTAGAATCATGATTTGAGTGTAGAGTCGTGTTTTGAGTTATGAGTTTTGAGTTGTATTTTGAAATTTTTTGGATTATTTTTTTTAAATATTTACAATTTTCTAATTTTATTTTTTTAGGGTAAATATTTTATATTTTAAATATTTATTTATTTATTTTAATGTGCACTATATTTCATACATTTATATTTCGCATTTTTTATTTTTTATTTTTATTTTAAATATTTTATTTTATTTTATAAAAATATTTTAAAATATTTTAATTTTTTTTTATGTGTTTGTTATGATTTGAGTGTATAATTTTAAAAGTAGTATGAAGTTTTGAGTTATGCGTTTGGTTATAAGTTTTGAAAATAGTTTTTGAATTGAGTTTTGAGTTATATTTTTTGACTGTATTTTGAGTTTAAAATATTAAAATTAAAAATCAAAATATTTACAAAATAAAATAAAATATTTAAAATAAAAAATTTAAATAAAAATTATCTGTTAGTTTGGTTTGTATTTTATTTGGTTCAATTTTTTTGAATTTTTTTTTTCAAAATCACTTTCTGCTTCCTACAAATCAATCAATCACTTTTTCTCTGTCATCTAATTCTCAATCACTTTTTCTCTCACATACATCTACTCAACTAATCATCCCAAACTCCCAAACTTCAAAACTATTTTCAAAATATACAACCAAACAAACTAAAAAAATTTCTAAACGCTCTCTCCAATTTTTATTTTTTTTTTGAAAGTTCATCTCAAAAACCAAACCAAAGACACCATATATATTTAAAATAAAATAATAAAATTTTCTTAAACATTTTTTAATATTTTTAAAAAATAAATCCAAAAAATTCAAAATTCAACTCAAAATTCAAAAACTCAAAACTCAAAATACAACCCAAAACTCTTTTCAAAACTCAAATCTCTTTTCAAATTTCAAAATTCAAAAACTCTTTTCAAAACTCTTAACCAAACAAATTTTATCTTTTCAAAATTCAATTTACAATTCTACACTCAAATCACAATTTTAAAAAAAGAATTACAATTTCAAAACTAAATCAAACGCAACCTTCATGTTTCCCAAAGTGATTGAGAAGTTGGTCTCAAATTTAAAATAATTTATTATTTTTTCAAAGGGTCATTTTACCCTCAGTTTTGTATAAAGGCAAATTACACCCATATTTCTGCCCTTCGTATCATTTTGGTCCCTATATTTTCGAATGACTCTATTTTGTCCTTAAATTTAATCTTTTGTATCATTTTGGTCTAATAAAAGTTTTAATGGAAAAATGTACATAGATGGCATATGACCATTTTCATGGGGTAAAATAGATATTTCACCCATTCTCTTCTCCCAGCTCCTTCCTCATCCTCGGGAGCTTCTATTTTCACGCACACATTCCTCTTAGTGCACATCCTTCTCAATACACACACTTAAAAAAATTAATCCTAATTTATTTCGCTCACTCCACACACCTCTTATTCCACATCTACCCTCAAATGTAAATCATGCACATACCCTCTCTGAAAACACACAAAACAGACCTGTCACTCACACACACACACATCTCTCACACTCTACCGTTCGTCCCCGAAAAGCTTCATCCGTCCATTGAAGACGTCTCATTGAAGCATTGGCTTTGAAGAGCATTAAACAAAATCACGTGAATCATTGAAATAAATCTTCACATTTGGAAAAAAAATGACTTTTGGCAAATCTGGGAAAACGACTCAATTTTTTATAGCTTTTCGCTCAATCGGCAAATTGGAGAAAACGATTCAATCTACAAATTACCGTTCCCTTTCGCCCTTTCGCTTCCATCCCAACTTTTCTCTTTTGTTAGATATGGGAAAACGACTTAATTTTTTACCATTTGGACTACCAGAGTCGAAAAAATTGTAGCCATTCAAAAATCTACCATCAAACCAATGACTTTTGTTCGAATACCAACTACCGAACCAATAGGGCTTCAACGAATACCAACCATCGAACCCATTTGGGCTTGCAGAATTAGGTTCACGCGGTGTTAAGAGGGATTCGCAGAGATCGGGGTTACAAAGCTCCCCTCCTCCTCTATAGCAAACAACTAGTTTCTACCACACACACCCACCATCGACTACTGACCACCGCTCCAACCACCCGTCTATCACCCACCACCACCAAACAACACAACCCATAACCATCAAAAACAAAAACAAAATCACAATCATAATCATAATCAAAATTCACCAACAAAAGCAAAATTAAAATCAATATCAAAACAAAAAATAAAAAAATCCAATTTCCAAACTCACCAATCAAAATCCAAGATTTATTGCTAAAGCATTGCCAAGAAACTGGAATTGATAAGATCTGAAAGAAAAGAAAAGAAAAAACTAGAATTGAAGAAATGTAAAGAAAGGTCTCTGCTTCTCCTTCTTTTATTCAAAGCAATACAAATGGTTTCTAACCCTTCAAAACCCTCTCTTCCCTCCATTGTATCTCCCATTTCCCTACGTCTTCACCACCGTCTTCCACCTTCCCTAGTGCCGCCTCACGACTTGCCTCCTCCTTCATTTGCCCTTTCCATGTAAATATAAAATAAAATCTGTTTATTATTTGAGTGAGTTAACTCACGTAGTTATGAGACATGGAAAAATCGAGAGCTTCTATTTACACACACCAAATCCACTCTATACACACACTTAATGATATTTATTTTTATTAAAATTTTATCCCTAAGTGAAATTACTATTTTAGATATCATACCCAATTCAAATAAACAAACATCTCAATGCACATCCAGACTTCACATCCATCTGTTGAAGCTGTTGAAGCTCCAAGTTCGTTGCTGCTACTTCTTCCATTGAAGTTGTTGAAGCTCCAAGTCCATTGAAGCTGCTGAAGCTATTGAAGCTCCAAGTCCATTCGTAGCTTTCCATTTCCATTAGTTTACACACTAACCTCATCCTCATTCATCATTGTTATGAGGAATTTCTCTTCTGAAAATTCAGATTTTTAGAAGCAAATAAATGTTTATGAGAAAGATAGCCAAGGAAATGTGAGTTTTGCAATATAAAAGTCTTGTTTCTTTTTTTTTTTCAGCGTCGTTTGGATAACCTGAGTCGAATTATATCATTTTGTTCGGTATTCTACTACCGAAATAATTATTTAATTTCGGAAGTTGTTGTCCAAAATAAGTTAAATTTTACAACATTCAACTTCCAAAATTTTAAAATTAATTCGGACAAATACTTTTCGAAAATTAGCATTTTGTTCAACACTGTACTTCCGAATGAAGTAATTTTTTTTTCCCATTTTATATTCCAAATTTGTTAACTGCATACTAAATTTACAATTTCAAATTGCAAATTAATCTTTATAATGCCATTAAAAATTTGTAATGTTATACAAAACATGTAGGAATATGTGTCAACTCAAGAAAGTTAGGTTTGCGCGGATAGTGTGTTGGATTACACTACTCAATTCACAACTGAACAGGTTCACTTTATGAAATTATAATGATTATGTTTTGAATTGCTCAACAAATGTAAATGTTTGATAATATTTATTTGACTTTGTAGGTATTCAAAAGTAAGGATGAATTACTCAACTGGATACGTGAAGTTGGAAAGAGAAATGGTTTGGTCATTGTAATCAAAACATCAGACTATGGTGAAGGGAAAAAAAGACCCAGGATGTATCTTGCTTGTGAGAGGAGTGGCTAATATAGAGCGACAAAGAAGTTAAAACATGATGGCAACAATAAATCAAGAACAACCGGTACGAAGAAATATGGTTGTCCTTTTGATATAAGGGCTCATAGGTTTACCACACATGATGAATGGGCATTGACCGTAGTATGCGGATTGCATAACCATCCACCTGCGGAGCACCTTGAGGGACATTCATATGCGGGGAGGCTGTCAAGTGATGAGAAAGCATTTTTAATGGATATATCAAAGAGCATGGTTCGGCCAAAACAAATCCTAGTAACCTTGAAATAGCGAGATGCCCTCAATGTAAGCACACTTAAAACCATTTACAATGTACGCCATCGAAATAGGGTGGTATAGAGAGCTGGAAGATCACAGATGCAACACTTATTGGGTGAATTGGCCAAGTATAATTACATTGAGCACCATCGATGTGAAGAGTCCACGATGACTGTGACAGACTTGTTTTGGGCACATCCTACTAGTTTGACTTATTTCGGTCTTTCCCACGTATATTAATTATGGATTGCACATATAAAACCAATAGATATCGTCTTCCTTTTCTTGAAATTGTGGGAGTGACATCAACTAAAATGACTTTCTCTGTGGCTTTTGCATACTTACAGTATGAGAGGCCCGATAACTATGCGTGGGTGTTAGCTACATTGCGTGATGTCATGGATGGTTTTGTTTTGCCAGCGATTATTGTTATTGATAGAGAGCTAGCCTTAATGAATGCCATACAGAAGATATTCCCGAGTGGTAGACATTTATTATGTCATTGGCATATCAGTAATAATGTATTGACCAAATGCAAGAAAATGTTTGAGACACGACAGAAATGGAAGAAGTTCAACCATGAGTGGAACTCTTTAGTGTATTCATCTTCTGAAATTCAATACGATGAGCATCTTAAATCATTACTTAAGGAATTCAGTAGTTATCCTGATGCAGTCAACTACGTCATGGATACTTGGTTGGTTCCTTACAAGGAGAAATTTGTAGCGATATGGACATACATGTATATGCATTATGGCAATGTTACAACCAACCGATAAGATTACTTTTGGTCAATATGTTATTAATAAGTGCCATGCACTTGATTTTAATTTGACTTACATTGAATTGAACAGGGCTGAGAGTGCACATGCAAAACTTAAAAGACAATTAGGTTCATGTCAAGTCTCATTTCAGGCATCATTTGAGAAAATACACAGCTTGCTTGAATTGCAACACACTGATATCAAGGCTTCATTTGAGAAAAGTCTAACTGTTGTGCAACATTAATTTAAACCTTCTCAATTCAGGGAGCTACGGGGTAATGTGTCTATCTTTGCATTAGAGTATCTGCTTGTAAAGAGTAAGAGAGCCAATTCCATTAGTATTGATGCTGAAGCTTGTGGATGCGTCCTTCGCCACACTCATGGTTTACCTTGTGCCCATGAGATTGCTGACTACATCAGACAAGATCGTCCTATACCACTTGCTACCATGCACTCACAGTGCAGGCAGCTTCATATCTCCATATGCAACAAAGAAGAGGAAATAGAGGTGACTTGTCGTGCAAAAGTAGAGTTGTTTGTGAAAAAGTTCAATGAAAGTGATAGAACCATGCAGTTGGAGCTTTTGAAGAAGTTGAAAGAGATTGTATGTCTGGGAAGCACTTTTCTTGTTGAGCCGGAGGTGAAGCCCAAAACACATCCTTGGGATCATAAGAAGATCATTGTTTCTACCCGTCGTGACCCGTGTGCATTTGAGTTGGTGCAATCTGGACATGATTCCTTCTCACCTAGGGACACTCAAATCACAACATTAGCGTCTACTCTGGAAATCAAGAAGAAGCGACCTGTTAAGGGAAAGGAGAAGGTGAAAGCGAAGGGGAAGGTGTACATTACTAGAATAGTGAAACATGGTGCATATGTTGATGCTTTCCCTTTTGGGTTGAAACCATACATTAAGTTTGTCAAGGATGTAGCTGTAGATGGGAATTGTGGTTTCAGGGCTATAGCTGCTTCAATTGGTCATACAAAAGATGATTGGACTCTGGTTAGGCGTGATCTTTTGGGTGAGCCGCACACACACAAAGAGGAATACATTACACTTTATGGGTCCTACGAAAGATTTGAAGAATTGACAAGCATATTGTCATACTTTGAAGACAGTCCTGGATACTCACATTGGATGACTGTGCCAGACATGGGGCATCTTGTTGCATCGTGCTACAATCTTGTGTTATACCAATTGTCATTACAGCAATGTCTCACCTTTTTACCTCAGAGAACAGTGCCAGTACCTAAACTTGATAGACGTGAGATTGCCATTGGGTTTGTCAATGGAAATCATTTCATCCAGGTATAACAGAAACTTATCAATTTGCGCATGTACAAGAAGTTATGAGGTATGACCACTAACTCAATTGACATTTGGTGCAGGTTTTTTTGCAGCCAGGCCATCTAGTTCCTTCTATAGCCACTAATTGGCAAAAATACCGTCACCCTTGCACTGTCGACTGGGATGATGCATATGTGCGCCGCATTTAGCATTTCAAGGACATTATTCGTGATACTGTAGCTACTCGAGAGACATTTGATGTTGTTGATGTCGCATGACACATGTATGCATTTGACAATGTTACAATTATGGAAGAAATTAATGGATGTGTGTAGACGCGCCCGAACGTCCCGGGAAAATCCCGTTTTGTTCATTGGGCTCACTACAGTTCGGACTCAAATGTCACGGTTCTGAATCTAATCTCGCAAAGTGCAATGCAAGACCGATAAATCACCAAAGAGTCCAAATCCAGCAAATCGTTTTGAAAAACTGATTTTTAGAAAGAAGTGCCAAACATAGACTGCTTTGCCAGATACAGAGTCGCTACCTAAATATTTTATTTTCGAGGGAATTTAGGAAACCCTGACTCATGCCTAAGGCCACGTGTCCGTCATCACCAAAGTTGCCTTGGCTCGGGAACTTGGGTACGATTGGGAAAGGTCATGAAATGAGCACCCCCGCTCGCCCGATCAAAGATCGGCCACTACTAAACATGATATCTTGTTTTCGAAAACATATGTGCTCTTATTCCGATTATTAACCTAGAATTACTATGTGATGCGCACAGCATACAAGTATAGACTGGATCACCTAAGTTGAAACAAAACATCTCATGTTTGTTTTTGAAAGCGGTTTGCTACTCGCAAGTAGGCTAAAATGCGGATTTTGCCACCTTCAAGTGGGCTTTGAAAAATATGGTGATTTCCCACTCTCAAGTGGGCTTAAAACTCGCAATCAATGAATTGTTCCAATTCAAATAATCCAACCTTCACCCACAGGCATTCAAGCAGTTATATTACATAAGCAGTTAGCCTCATGGCAAGCATGCTATCATGGCAGTCACTTACACACATGAAAGGATGCTAAAGCATAAACACGCGCCGAGTACTCCAAGCCAAAACAAAAACTAGTTAGTAATCAATGCATGATCCTAGTTCATGTTAAGATGGCTAATGCAACACATGCAAGATGCAACTAAGATAGGCTCGGCTATTCTAAGATGGCATATGAAATGCAACTTGATACATGTATTCAACTTGGAATTGAAATACAATGCAGTTAGCATGATGCGTCGAGCCCTGTGCATGCAAAACAGATGAATTGATGCATGCATGCAAGCATAAGGTATGCTAATCGAAATATGCCCTAAAACTAACCATCGTAAGCTAGTAAATAAAAGGGAGAAAGAAATAGGGGTTAGAAGACATGCATCACACACACGCACACTTATTACAACATTTCCCTCTCGGAGGAGGGTCCGAATAAATAATACAGAACCAACTAGCAAATCTAAGCTAATTAAACTAGTTATTACACAGCCGAAATGAAGAACAAATTACAGTTAAATATTACACAACATTAATTAATTAACAAATTAAACTAAGGAAGCAAATAAATTTGCATGCAAGCTACATGAAATGGATTGCCTCAGCTCTGTTCCGAATGATAAGGGATGTATGCATGCTTGAGTCGCTTTGTTGGGAAATCCATTGCGATGCCTCGACTCGCCTTTGTTTGCAATTGAACTCAGAAACTTGCATGAGGCTCCAGAGAGATGAAACTTCACCCCGGGAAACTGTGGGAAGGCTGCCGACCAGCTTATAGGCATGGGAGACCAACTACCGACCACCCTTGGTGGTGAAGACCAGAAAAGGTGGTCGGCCTGCCAGAAAACCTGGTCGGCCGACCAGTTCATTCTCTCGGTTTCTGCTTTTTCTACAACAAAGACAAGAGAGAGAAAAGGCAAGGTATTTTCAACATATGTATGCCCGACCAATCTCCCCGTCATTGCATAAGCTCTAGGGAGTGTAGTCCTCGATCCTCGTGCCATCAATCACGCATCCCGATGCATGATGGCCGAGGAGTCGAATTGCACGACTCAATGGGAAATGAATGCACATGTAAACACCTAAAGCCAACAACTCTATCATGGATAGTCAAGAGTGTCGGTGACCAAGAATCGAGGCACGTTTCGTCACTTTAAGTATGAAACGTCCCTCGTTTCCCATGCTTGGACTAAATCCTACTCCAAACATAATGCAACAAACAATGTATGGACAAATACAACTCTAGCATGCGATCTAAATGCAATGCAACTAAGTGATGCGAAGATGCACAGAATGATATGCAAGCATGCAAATGGCATACACAATGCTATGAACTAATCAATGGCATACTCAATGCACATGGCTTATATGGCATACATACACGATGCACTAACATACGCAATGTTATGAACGAGGCATACGCAATGCAATGATCAAACATGCAAAAACATGGACTATATGGCATACACAATGCAAGATGGACTTAAAGCAAGATGGATGGGCCTCGGCCACACCCAAATCAGTGGCCAATATGATGAAAATGAGGCAACAAGGTACATGCAAACATGCACAAATACAAGGGACCAAACCTAAGGAACAAAGTGCAACTCTACCAAAGCATGACAAGGATGAAATATGGCATACAATGACACATGTTCCAGCTCTGAAATGACATGCAAGATGGTCCCAAATCATGCAAACAACGCACCCGATGCATGTTGGATGGCACAATTACCGAAACTAGTGAACTGCATTACACTAGAGGCATGCAAAGCGATGCCCAAATGACCAAACCAACCCCAAATAGTCCCTATGCAGACCCAAAACAGTGGCAAAATGGACTAAAATGATGGCTTGCAATGCACGAAAATGAAGCTCATGCAATAACCAAAAAATGAGGCATACAAGCACAACTCTCAAACACATTTAAAGAGTGGAAACATTGGAACATGACACAAGTATAGGGTCTAAAATAGCATGCTCAATGATGCCGAGACATGAAAACAACTCAAGTTAAGCATGCAAGAGGCTTCAAAACTCAAAGCTAGGCAGGGGTATTACACTACAAGCATGCATGACAAGCATCATTCGACCATGGGACCTCAAAATAGAGCTAAGGAAGCCCAAATCATGAATGAAATCAGTTTAGAACATGGCCAAAATATGCTAGAATCAAGGGCCGAAACAACATGCAATGTGAGCTAGTGAACATGGATTACACTACAAGCATATGAAGCATTCAAGAGGCCACTAAACCAGCAAAAGTTAGAGACATGACATGCCAAATAAAGCCCAAAAACCCATTGAAACATGATCAATGCATGCAAGAATGACATGCTCCTTTGATAGGCTATAAGAGGGGTTATTCTACACATGCAAGAGACACGCCCAAGGTGACAAAACCAACTCTGGACAAAGCCTAGGTAGGCCTTAAAAGTCACTGAAAAGTGCCTGAAACAAGGCTCAAAGGTGTCCAAAGGAAGGTTCCTTTGTAAGGCCAAAAATGCTAGTGAACAAGACAAGGAGGGAGAGGGTCACCCCTCTCTGATTTTGGCTCTCAAAAACACATGTTAACCACTAAAAACCCGCTAGATTTCAGTGGTTAAAAGGCCAAGCAAAGGTCAACACAAAGGCCTTAGGGCATGGCTCAAAACAAGGCAAAATGAAGCATGCAGGGGGGTAGATGAACCCCAACAACAAAATGACCTGAAAAAAACATCAAAAGGACCTCAAAAAAAGACTTTTTTTAGTTGACAACAAGGCTCAAATATGCATGCAAATAAGGCTAAGAGATGGATCAAAATAAAGCTTAAAAGAGGGAAAAAGTGTGTTACCCTTGAAGCTCAGCAAGACAGCAACTTCTCCAGCCCAAAACCAACTCTTTGAGACCTCTCAAGACCTTCCAAGAACCTTAGAACAATGGTGGAGGTGTGTGGCTATGAGGTGTGGTGTAATAGGTCAAGAACAAGACCCTTTTGAACCCAAAACACAGAGATATAAAGGGAAGTGTATGCACAAGCCTTAGACAAATTTCTGAACCCTAGCCAAGGGACAGTACGGCCTCTTTTATAGAGATACAAGGCTAAAGCTTCTTCAAGAAGCTAAAAAACAAGGCTCAAGATCCTCCATACACATGTATGGAGGATACAAACTGTGCCTTCCAGCTGGCACAGCTGGCACACACTCACAGAGACAAGACTGAGGGAGGCAGGCCGACCAATTCAGGTGGTCGACCGACCACTTCCCCTGGTCGGCCGACCAGTTCAAAAGGTTCAACCCAAAAAAAGTTGGTCGGCCAGCCCATTTGATGGTCTCCCAACTGAATGCAAGCTAGTGTTATGGTGGGAGACCAGTAAATGTGGCTCAAAACCCAAGGAGACTGGCTTCCTGACAAGAAAATCGGCTGGCGGGGAAAAGTGGTCTCCAAGGAGAAAAGGTGGTCTCCCACCCTTGTACCACCTTCCAAACAATGAAAAAGGTCCATGCCAAAAATGAACCAAGACGGATGCAAAACGAGGGTTCGGGGGTCAAAACGCGCAGCCGGGTGCCCCGAAAATAGGCTATTAGGCATCGAAAGTGGCGTGCAACCACAAAGGTGGTCTCTCAGGCCACAGTGTCCCTCTAGTGAGAGGAAGCAAGGTGTGTCCCAAAAATCGTGCCAAACGGAGGAAGTTAACCGGTCCCGAACCGAGGCGCACGGCCGACGGCTCCGAAAATTAGAAACTGGTCTCCAAACGGGAACAGTGGCCTGCGGCCACGAAAAGTAGCCTATGGCCACTAAGAGATGGTCTAGAAGACCTCTCCCTCCCTTCGGGAAGAGAAAACAAGGCCTGGTTTGCAAACCGAGGCAAAGCACAAAAGGGTCCTGAGGTCCAAGGGTAAGGCTCTCAGCCGAAACTCCAAAACCTCAGAACGAGCACAACATGCACCATCACCGAGCGCTCAATTGATGATGTCTGAGTCTTAAGGTTGGTCAAAAATGGGGTGTCTACAGTTGCTCCTCTTTGACAGAACTCAAAAGTCAGAAGTGACGGGAGTGAATGTCAAAGCCTAGAGACGATCCATTTTTGACAAGGCCGAAGTCTTAGACAAACAGGCGAGATAAACAAAGAGATGTGCCCGCAGGCAGGGGTAAAATGCAAAGGGGTATGCACAAAGCCGAACATAATTTATGATCATGCAAAGCACGCTGTAATGAAGCAAATATACACAATAAATGCAACAGTTTAAACGAATGTTATGCAAAGCAAGTAAACACGAGATAAACCACATCTCATGCAGAAAGGATGTAAGAAAATTATACAATTCTCACTGCGTCTCACACGGAGAAGGCTAAAAGCGAAAGAAGAAAGTGAACAAATGGATATTGGAATGCATCCGAGTGTTCGAAACCGAAGACGTCCTAACGCACCGCATGCAAGAGGAGAAAAGGTATGAATGAACATCGGAACTCATCCAAGTGTTCGAAATCGAAGATGTCCTAACACACCGCATGCGAGAGGGGAAAAGGTATGAATGAACACCGAAACTCATCCAACTGTTCGAAACCGAAGATGTCCTAATGCACCGCATGCGAGAGGAGAAAAGGCAAGAATGAACACCAGAACTCATCCGTGTGTTCAAAACCAATGATGTCCTAACGCACCACATGCGAGAGGAGAAAAGGTACGAATGAACACCGGAACTCATCCGAGTGTTCGAAACCGAAGATGTCCTAACGCACCACATGAGAGAGAAGAAAATGCAAGAATGAACACCGGAACTCACCCGAGTGTTCGAAACCAAAGATGTCCTAACGCACCACATGCGAGAGGAGAAAAGGTACGAATGAACACCAGAACTCATCCGAGTGTTCGAAACCGAAGATGTCCTAACGCACCGCGTGCAAGAGGAGAAAAGGTATGAATGAACAACGGAACTCATCCGAGTGTTCGAAACTGAAGATGTCCTAACGCACCACATGTGAGAGGAGAAAAGGTACGTTCAGACTGAACCGGAACTTCTCTTGAATGAACCGTACATACAATATTGTGTCTGTAAAAGAAAGGAACTTAATAGGTATAATAAGTTAGCAACATATGTTCAGAGCTATATCAAACGCGGACAGGTAAGGTGCCGATGGCAAAGTGTATAACGATGCAAGTGAAACGTGTGCGACGACGCATGCAAAGCATGGAGGCATGATAACACCAATGAAACGTGCACAACAATACAAGTGGTGTGCATAACAACGCAAGATAAGTACAACTTCAAAAGCATGCTTGAAACAAAATGTTGAGCAAAGAAGTGCAAGCTTTGAAGAGAGCAACTCAAATGCGACCTCCGATTTACCTCTCGGAGAGGTTGCAACGTACTCAAAAAGGATACACCTTGCTCTTGGCGAGTAATGATGAGCCATACGTCGAAGACTTGAGTTGAAGTTCCGGTGGAGGCATTCCGCGCCGAAAAGTGCACTTTTCTTGTACTTTCTTGAGAGCCGGGGACTCCAATCATCACCAAAATTTATAGGGAGAAAAAAGGGACTTGGGAGACCACCGAAGAGGATGGCCGACCACCTAGGCTAGTGGTCGACCAGATTTTTCCCAGGGGGTGGTCGGCCTACCAGAAAATCTGGTCGGCCGACCACTTTGCTAAATCTAGGGCAGTTTTGTCTTTTCATGCTTAGATCTTTAAGTACACACATCCAAACACTGTTGCTCACAACTCCAAGTCCGAAATCAGTCCCTCTTCCTTCCTAGACCATTTTCTCCCTCAGATCTGCGCTTTATACGCATTTTCAACGCCCAATGCAAAGTTGTTTCGCGAAAACTTTCAGTTCTCTTCACTTTGAACCGATTAAAATTTGATTTCAGAGCTTCTTTCTCCATTTTCACCACTTGAGGTATGTTTGTCTCGAAGTTTGGCACATTTTCTCGGGAGTTGACTTTTGTTGACTTTTTCCTTTCCCGAGAGTTGACTTTTGTTGACTTTTTGCAATTTTGGCTCATTTCGCTCATTTTTGCAGATTTCTTCAGATGGCAGATCATTTTCATCATGGTGGAGGTCCTCCACATGCCGGAGATGAGCCGAACATCATGTCACTGCAATCGAGAGTTCGGCCTTTCGACCCCGAGAGGTATCATCCTTAGGAGCACGTCCTACCTCCGATCACTTTCTATCACTTCACTGACTTTGATCGACGAGCACCCGCGGATCTGCTACTACGGGAGCCAGAGTCTCATCTCTCTCATCAGGCACGAGAGGTATGTACTTCACTTTTATATTTTTTGCAATATATTCTGCTTTCCCTGCACATTCCATGCTTTCGCTATATATTTTTATCCGCTCGTTCTGAACACATTCACACACCATACTTCTGCTTATTCGGCACGCAGCTCACAACATGGTATTTTGTTAAGTTGGCACACAGTTTGTTCTGAACACACGGTTCATTCTTATCACACAGTTTGTCTCGGGCACATAGCTCTTTTTTCGGGCGCACAACTCATTTTCTTGGGCACACAACTTGCTTTTCTGCTTGAACACACAGCTCACACATTTCATTTGCATGCAGCTCTCACTGAACACGTAGTCCATAACACAGTGTCCTATTTGATTTGCACGCAGCTCAGACTGAACACGCAGTCCATAACACTGTATTTGATTTGATTTGCACACAGCTTATACTGAACACGCAGTCCATAACACAGTATCTGATTTGATTTGCACATAGCTCATACTGAACACGCAGTCCATAACACTGTATTTGATTTGATTTGCACACAGCTTATACTGAACACGCAGTCCATAACACAGTATCTGATTTGATTTGCACACAGCTCATACTGAACACGCAGTCCATAACACAGTATCTGATTTGATTTGGACACAGCTCATACTGAACATGCAGTCCATAACACAATATCTGATTTGATTTGCGCACAGCTCATACTGAACATGCAGTCCATAACACAGTATCTGATTTGATTTACACACAGCTCATACTGAACATGCAGTCCATATGTTTACTTCATTTCTAAATACACAGTTCATCTACTTTATTTGCACGCAGCTCATACATTTCATTCTGACACTGAATACATCTGTTCATTCTGAATGCAGGTATCTTTCCGTTCCACGCGGGGCTATGGCTCGATCGTCGCTAGGGAGTGGTATGTGGAGCTCCAAGATACTGTTCGTCATATGGTTGATGAGGCAGGGTTTGGACCCTTTTGCGCGGGGCTATCACGTTACTCGGCAAGCAGGACCTTGATGGGGGCACTTGTGGAGAGGTGGTGGGACACACCAACTCATTCCACTTTTCAGCTACCGGGGATATGACGATGACCTCGTTTGACTTTGCCATGCTGACTGGCCTTGATGCAGTTGGCCGACCGGTCCCCTACGACGCAGACATGGACGAGTGGGAGGCGGCTTGGATTCATCTGCTGGGAGCCCGCCCGCCGATTGATAGATCTTCGGGTAGGGTCAGGTACACCTGGTTTCTCGTGCAGTATAGGGAGACAACGCTCGAGACTCTCGAGGAGATAGAGCAGTACGCTCGAGGGTTTTTGATGTTCCTCCTTGGGACCACTTTGTTCTCCGACAGGGGGAACACAGTTGGACTGTATCTGCTCAGTGCTTTAGTGGACCTATCACAGGTCAGCCAGTATGACTGGGGTGGCGCCGGCCTCGCTACCCTTTACTGTTACATAAGTGCGACCTCCCGTGGGCGGGGGAACATAGTTGGTGGCTACTGGAGAGCCTAGGAGGTACTTTCCCTCTTGATTTACATTCTTGTTTTTCATTAGTTGTACACTGCACACAGCACACCTTACATTCGGTATTCTACATTCTATATTCAGCGTTCTGTATTCTCGATTCTATATTCTGATGGCTATTGCCCTATTTTCCACAGCTATGGGTTTACGCATACTTTCTGACGCTAGCCCCGGAGCTCGAGGTGGAGGTGCCTCTTGTGATTCCTTACTCTCACGTATTTGAGGACCAGTGCCAGCCGAGGGCTTGGGAGACTCTACCCTACCTGCGGCAGTTCTTTGATACGGTGCGAGCGACCGAGGTAATTCAGAACTCTCAGTTCTTCATGTTTTTAGCTTTGATTCATCTTGCATATTTACGATATATAATCAACTTATGCATTGGTTTTTCACAGATCACTTGGCTGCCCTGGGCGCCCTTGGGAGGAGATATCCGTTTTTGATTCCCTGGAGGGTGGGCCTCTTCTCTATACAGGACTTTATTTGAGGGGCCGGTTGGCAGGGCCTGGTTTCTGGGGGATTGCTTCTTGCGTCAGACGATGGGCGTCCCCGATCAGAGTATCCCCTCAGCACCTCCGGATGACTTGCGGTCCACTGGGGGACTCACTCTCGAGGAGGTCGACATTGCTATGTTGGGTACTGATGCGATTCTGCACACAGAGGAGGGGGAGTACGTGACTTACCGCTATACATACCTGATGCCCCCACTGACAGGTATCTATACTCCTGCGATGAGGGCTGCTGGTGCGTCATCATTAACTCGAGCCTAGGCTGCAGATGCTCTTTCGACTAGCAGGGCCGGTACATCGAGAGGTGGGGCTGGATAGATTTCCTCAACTTACCAGCATGCTGGGTGGCCGGATCCTCCGACCGAGTTGATAGGCTGGCGGTATGGGACATCCTACCCAATTTCATTGAAGCCTCCATTGCCTGATCATCGATACGTCAGTGACCCTGACTCGCCACCAGTATGCTTTACAGTTTTGATTTATCACTCAGATATTTAGACATTCATTCATTCACTGATGACTTGCACTTACATCTACAGCCTTCCAGAGAGTACATGGATAGGATGCTTGGAGTGGTAGCCTCGCTCGAGAGCATGGTTCTGAGGAGGGAGACACAGCTGATCATCACCGGCGGCTTGGTATTTTTCAATTTCCTTGCATTTATCACACTTCTGATGACATGCTGAATTTGACCATTTCACTGCATTGGTTGACTGCATGTGTAGAGCACATCTGACACACACCACATTCATATATCATATCTGCATACATCCATTCCATGTGGCTTTCTTGTCTCTATATCTGGTATACATATTGGCTGATGTATTCAAATTGTCTTCTTTTCAGATGCCACTGCTTCAGGCTGGGCCATCCCGGCCTTCTCGAGGAGTGGAGAGAGGAGATTCGACTCGCAGGCAAGGTAGGCGTAGAGCACCTATCAGAGATGATCCGGAGTCCAGCGAGGAGGAGGAGTATGCACATCCTCAGTCAGAGACATCTACAGGCAGAGAGGATGACTCTGGATTCGGTTCTAAGGGTGGAGGCGATGCCAAGGAGGATTCCGAGGGCAATGACTCCGATTCGGATGGTGATGGAGCAGGGGTTGCTCAGCCGAAGAGGACAAAGAGGGCCTCTCAGTCTTGCACTTGAGAGCACTGATGTAGATGTTCCCTGCTTTATTTTCTTTTATTACTAGTAATTGTAGCACATTAGCTTTTAGGGAGTTTTATTTTCTTTAAAACTTGTACCCTATTGTAAAATGTTGTAACAAAAGGATCATGATGGAATGAAATAGCTTTTTGTTCAAAAAGTGCGGTACGTTGTTTTCTTAGCATCGCATTGCATCATTTTGTACAAAAATGAGATTGAATGGAAATGGAGCATTGTACATTGCCAAGTCAGGTAGTGAACCGACACAACAAACTAAACAACTTAACTTACTAAGAAACAACAAAACCTTAGCAAGTTTACAACTCGATAAGCAAAACACGACAATGTTGATAAACAGAGAGTAACAACTCGATGTACAAAACTCGACGACTTGATAAGAAAACTTAACAACTCGATAAACAAACTTAACAACAACTCGATAAATAAAGAACAACAATTCGATGAGCAAATGCATTTCGGACAAACCGGGTGACGGAATGCATCCGAAACAGAGGTAAACTCGGACCTTCAACACTCCCAACGTATGGAAAGGCTAGGAGCTCTCTTGTAGAGGCTAGGAAAAGGCCAAAATCCAATTTTCCTCCATGGCCGACCACCAAAGAAGGCTGGCCGACCAACGCTGGCCGACCAGCTTCCTCCCTTGGAGACCAAATAGGGTGGTCGGCAGACCAGAAAAACTGGCTAGCCGACCAGAAAAAGTGGTCGGCCGACCACTTGGCCCGGCGACCTTCAGATTTTTGACACATGTCCTCCAAATAGTGCCTTATCCTCTATAAAAGTTTCAGCTTCGTGGTTCTTTCATTCCATCTCAGTTTCGCATCAAAATGGAGGCATTTCTCATCCAAAGTCTCACAGCTTGGATTGTTACCTTAGACGGCTCGAAAAAGTTGAACTTCCGGGGCTTCGGCATAAATGCACTATTCATGCTGAGTCGCACTCCGTTGCATCTTCCATTCCTCCAAGCCGTGGCAAAGTTTTGAAATCCGGTAACGCATGTCTTTAGCTTTGCCGGGCAAGAGGTGTGTCCTACCTTCGATGATTTCCAAGTTTTGATGGAATCCGAGCGCAACGAAGAAATCTTGCCCCAACTTCGCTTCGGCCACGCCCAAGCCTTAAGGCGAATGTGTGGGCTCACTATGCATGATGCTCGATCTTTGATTTGTGACGGAATGCTGGATATTTCGAGTTTGATTTGTCGGTTTTCCGATGTCGGTGACCGCAGTGACCATCATTGGCAAGACTTTCGGCGACATGCCCTTTGTTTGTGCACGCTATCTCATTTTTTGCATGCCTCAGGCTCTGGAGGATCTAGTGTCCGGTTGATCGAGGTTGCCCAAGGCTTGGGGGAAGGAAAAAGCTGCATTGCCATGTCATTGGCCGAGACATTGATGGGCTTGGATGCTTTTCATTGCTGAGAGACGACCAGATTTGCGGGGAGTCCACTACTGCTGCAGGTAATGTTTCCCACCCTATCTCGCATGTATGTTGCTCATATCACTCGGCCCTCAGGCTCGATTTTTCTCACAAAACCCATTTCTCACTTTTCTCTCAACATACACCTCTCTATTCTTTAATCTCTCATTTTCATCCCTCCCCAAGTGTGGTTAATGGACAAATTGTATGTTGTGGATTCTTCCCTAGCATACTCAGCTCACGACTACTTCTTCTGACGTCGCCTAGTTGATGCCCTTGATGAGGGATGGTGGTTTGACTGGATGTGCAATTTGTCCGCATACCGCATTGCTTGGCGTTGTCCTTGGCTCAATTTACCGGCAATGAGTTATGGCATGTCTCGGCAGCCTGGGATTCACTTAATTGGCCTGACACACTGCGTGTTCTACTTTCCTTTCCAGTTCCAGTGCCAGTTTGGCCATGATCAGATTTTCCCGGCAAAGGGGATAGAGTACCCCGTTGCATTTCCGCTCCGAGGCACACAGCTTGCTCGGCATCCTACAACATGGAGGACTAGAGAACTCCTGGCCCCTACTCCCACTTTCAGTTGTACTTTGTCTGACGAGTGCATAGATTGGCTCAATGAAGAGGCGCAAATTGGGCCCAGCTTGGCATCAGCAGCTTCGACCAGCTCTGGGAGGGGGTGTAGGAACACCTGACTATGCCCCTGATTTATTTGCTTTAATCAGAACTTTCAAGTTTTCTTTATGAATGTAATGAAAAGCAACTTCAATTTGTATGTAAGAGCAGGAGAACTCTGTATTGAAATCAATGAAATTGAAGGTTGTGGGTACTGAAAATTTTCCGTTTGGTCCAAAAATGGTCTGAGTTGTAAAAGATTAATTTGAGCAAAATCAACTTTTATTAAAACTTTTCAAAACCATTTTTGATATGGATCAGAACTGGACATGCCTGAGATCTGTCACTGAGATGCACAACCCTGGATCCCAGCAACTGGAAAGTTGCCCCTACTCTGAATAGCACTACACCGGAGATCACAACTGAGCTTTTGAATGCATAATAGACAAAGATGACCGAGATGATCAAATGGACAAAGTTGATCGGGGAAGTGTTTATGGCTGGACTTCAGGATGAAGTTGCCTACGTATCCCAAAGATGGGAATCAAGCCTTATGTAGTTCGGCTCAGGTGCACTCATGTATTAACCCTCACCTTTTACGCTCTAACTTTTTCCAAGGCCGCTCTTTGCGGGTTTTCAACCTTGCGAGCTCAATTTTTATAATTTCAAATTTTCTGTGCTCTAACTTTTGCCTAGGTCGCCCTTTCGGGTTTTCAGCCTAATGAGCCTCTCAGGGGTAATATTTCTTCAACTTGTCCATGTTAATCGGTTGGGAGAACTCTAGGCCATCTAGGTCCATCAGGACGACAGCTCCACCTGACCAGATAGACTTGATGATGTAGGGACCGGTCCAATTGGGTCTGAACTTGCCCTTAGGGTCATGGATGGGAGCTCGGTTGTCTTTGAGCACCAAAATCTCCTTCTTTCAAATTTTAGGACTTAACCTTCTTGTTGAAAGCCCTGGCAATTCTGCGCTGATGACCTTGAACATGGTACAGTGCTTTCAGTCTTCTTTCATCAAAGAGCATAAGTTCTTCAAATCTGCTCTGCTGCCAATTTGCTTCGGCTATCTGACACTCAGCTAGCACTCTCAATGACGGAACCTCAATTTTAATAGGTAGAACGGCCTCTATCCCATAAACTAATGAATACGGAGTCGCACTAGTAGAAGTTCTAATTGAAGTCCGGTAACCCCACAGAGCAAATGGCAGCTTATCTGACCAGTCCCAGTAGGTTTCCACCATTTACTATAAAATACACTTGATGTTCTTGTTGGCGGCCTCAACTGCTCCATTGGCCTGCGCCCGATATGTAGATGACTTGTGAAAAGCCACGTTGTATTTCTCTAACAAATCAATCACTTCCTTCTTGAAGTGGGAACCATTATCTGAGATAATCTCGTTCGGGACCCCATAGCGACAGATGATGTTGTTCCTGATGAACTTCGCAACGTGCGACGTCTTCAACACCGCATAGGATTGGTCCTCAACCCACTTTGTGAAATAGTCTGTGGGGA